CAAAAGTGAGATTGGCCTTATACTTCTTTCTAGTTCTTTTCCTTCTGATTTTGATATCAGTATTAGCCACATGAAATAATTGAATAGTTTTCCTTTTTATTTTTTTCTGTTCTTGGAAGCTTTTTGTAATCAGGGATCTTCTACCCTTTGGTTAAAATTGTGAAATTGAGTGTGATGTATTTTTTTATGGAATTTTTTTGCCTATCAATTCAGTTTCGTTAATGATTATTCATTTATTTAGATGTACTAGTGCTTCCAGAATAAATTTTGATTATTTGATAGTTTTCTAGAAAAGTGTCCACTTCATGTATGTTTTAAAAGTTGATAGCATTGGGGCGCCTGGGTGGCTCAGTCAGTTAAGCCGCTGCCTTCGGCCTAGATCATGATCCCAGGACCCTGGGATCAAGCCCCGCATCGGGCTCCCTGCTCAGCGGGAAGCCTGCTTCTCCTTCTCCTCCCCACTCGTGCTCTCTCTCGCTATCTCTGACTCTCTCTCTCTCTCAAATAAATAAATAAAATCTAAAAAAAAAAAGGTAATAGCATAAATATGCTCTAATATGCTTATTTTTGTATTTTAATAATAGTTAATTTAATAAAATACCAGTATAGTTAGCATACAGTGTTAAATTTGTTTCAGGTATACAATATAGTGATTCAGCAATTCCATACATCACCTGGTGCTCATCACAACAATTGCACTCTTTTCATCGCCATCACCTGTTTCACCCAACTCCCACCCCCTCCCCAGTTTGTTCTCTACACACACATTTTAAGTCTTGTCTGTAACCTTATACATCTTTTCGAAGATTTCCACTATTATTTTGTCTTTTTATCAATCTTTCTGGGAGGTTTATCTATTTTATTGGTCTGTTCAGAGAACTAGATTTTGATTTTGTTGCTAATCTGTGTAGTTTTTTAAAATTTCATTGGTCTTTATTCTAGCTCTTCTAATTGTGGTGGATTTTTTTTTTACTTTTTAGTTCTAATTTAATTTATATTTAGTTTACTTTTTGTTTATTTTAATTTTGTTTTTCAGGTTTTTCTTTTTTTTCTTTTTTTTGTTTTAAAGATTTTATTTATTTATTTGATAGGGAGAGACAGCGAGAGCAGGAATATAAGCAGGGGGAGCGGGAGAGGGAGAAGCAGGTCTCCCACTGAGCAGGGAGCCCGATGTGGGACTCGATCCCAGGACCCTGGGATCATGACCTGAGCCGAAGGCAGACGCTTAACGACTGAGCCACCCAGGCGCCCGATTTTTCTTATTTTTTAATAAATACATTTAATTTCTGTAAATTTCTCTCCAACTACAGCTTATTTGTATTTCAGGAACTGTTTTGATACGTATTTCTTTTGTGGTTAGTTTTAAATATTTTATGATTTTCATAGTGGTTATTTAGGAGTTTTTTAGTTCCCAAGCATATAGGGTATTTGCTTATTTTATTTTTGTTATTTTAAATTTATTTTTAATTGCACTATGGTCAGAGAATTATGTACTACTGATTTTTAAAAATGTATTGAAACTTGTGAGCAGGACATATTCAATTTTTGTAAATGTTCACGTTCTTGATAGGAAGGATATTTACTATTTGTTGATGAATCTCTTAGCTCAAACTAATTAATTTGGCTGTCCATAACATGAGTATCCTCACCATTTTTTTCCCCTGCTAGCTCTGTTGATTTCTGTTAGAGGTATATTAAATAAACTGTAACTATAGTTTAAAAAATTCTCCTTATAATTGTGTCCATTTTTGCTTGGATGCTATATTGTTTGATTTACTTAAATCTTCTAGATGAATTCTCCTTTCATTATTATTCAGTGCCATTTTTTATTCCTTTATTTCCAAGCTTTTTATGTCATTTAGCTTTAACAGTATTCTTTTTATGTCCTGTGTAATCATTTCTGCCTTCTGATAAGTGAATTTATTTATATTATTGGGTTATTAACTTAAAGTTGTATGAACCATCTTATTTTTTGTATTTTCTTTTTTTTTTTTTACTATCCCTTTTCTTTGTTGTTTTCTGTCTTCTGTTGGATTGAAGGAATTTTTGTTGTCTTTATTTTTCTTTTTCTGGTTTGGAAAGACCTTAAAATGCTTTAACTTGGTTTTCCTGTCTGTTAAGTTAGATAATACTTTACTTCCTCTTTGTTTTGAATCCTCCTACTCTCTAGGTTATCATTAATGTTATTTTTATATTCTGTACTAAGTTAGATTTATCATCATATTTTCTAATTTTTTTCCTCATCATGATTTTTTTCTAGGTTCAGGTTCCTCCTTCCTGAAGTGTAGACCCTTCATTACTTCTGAGTCTCATCTTTTCTGAAAATTTTATTACATGACATTTATTCTTCAATGACAGTTTAGCTGCACATGGAATTCTAAATGGTCTGTTTTCTTCCTCCTCAGTCCATTAAAGATAACACTTCATTGTCCATTGGAATCTAGAGATGTTGAAAAGCCATTTTAGCTTTTTTAGAACATAATGCTGGTAGACTATTTTTCTTGGTTCTTTTAAAATAATTGCTTTGGTAACTTAAAGATCATTTTTGTCTTTGAAGTTCTGCAATTTCACTATAATGTATACAGTGTGGGCTTGTTTTCTTTCTTTCTCTCTTTTTTTTTTAAGATTTAATTTTTAAGTAATCTCTACACCCAGTGTGGGGTTTCAAACCCACAACCCCGAGATCAAGAGTCACATGCTCTACCAACTGAGCCAGCCAGGTGCCCCTGTTTTCTTAATTCTACTTGAGATTCATGTCTTTCCTCAATTTAAGAAAATTCTCAGTATTCAAATATTGACATTCCCTCCTCCTCTGGAATTTCCTTCTGCAACTTCTATTAGGTAACTACACATCTGTCTTTGTCCTATAGTCTCTCTTCAATGCATGTTAACCTCTCTTTTGTATTTTTATCTTTTTGTTTCTCTATCTCCTTTTAGGTGAATTTTCTCAAATCTGTCTTCTCATTCGTTTCCTTTTCAGTTCATAGTATTGTTCAGTGTAGCCACTGAGTGAGTTTTTAAATGCAATGACTGTTTTTCATTTATGTAATTTCTATTTGGTTCTTTTCTAAATTCAGTGTTCTTTTGTAATAAATACTTGTTCTTGCCTAATGGTTTCTATTCCTGCTTTTGGGGGAGTGGGCAAATGAAAAATGCTGGTTTAAAAATCTCTTAAAAATAGATTTTAGTTTTAGATAATCCTGTTCTTATGGTATAAATTTTGTTGTGTCTACTGATTCTCTTTCTTGGCAACTCCTTTCTTTATGCAATTTGTTACCTTTGTGAAGTCATTTTTAGTAGGGTTTGCTTTCTGAGAGAGTTCCGTATATTCTAGATAAGTAAATATCCTTGTAGGTTGATTGCACATTTACTTTTCCTAGCTTATCAGAGTTTTCACTGGTTTTGGCATAGGGTCCCTCTACCATTTGGGTTAGATGAATTTGCTGTGTTTACTCACAAGAGAATCTTTTCCGCCCATGGCTCAGTTTCATTTCCGTTCACCTACGGTTAGGGGTAGTGTTTTTGTAGTCTGTGTTTCACAGGTGTAGCCCTTCGTGACTCCCACACATGCATCAGTTTTTAGCTGTTAGACTGTTTTGGCTTCTGTTCCTGTTTACTGCTCTCACTTTGAGTTGCTGCTTTATTTTTAGTGCCAGGGTATTTCCCTTGCCTGAGCTGGAGCTTAGCAATATTTCCTTCATTACATTTTATCCAACACGTCCATCAGTTTGGAGCAGAATAGTGTTCTGAGTCATCTCAGAATACTGTATTGACCAGAAGCTTCTATTTAAGTTCTCATGATTCTTGTTAAGGAAATATGAAAAATCAAGTAATGGCATCTTAACTGCAACTTCTCATCTTTATTAGATATTTTTCTTTTGATTAATTCATCCTAAGATATACAGATATTTCTTAAAACACTAGACTGTTTTAAGAAGAGATATAATACTACCTTTTTTTTCTGGGAGTGGGGATTGTCAGTGATTTTTGTTACTTCTGAATCACATATCTAACTGAAACAACAAGATATTTTAAAAATTGCTCAACATATTCCCTTCATATAATTTCAAAAGAGCCTAGATAGTCTAGAAATGTGAGCTATGAATAAAATTTAAAAATTTTATGCTTTTGAAGATGTTTATTATAGTGTTAACCTTTAAAAGTGAAAAAAGGACTTTAACAGTAGGAACAGTTCAGTACATTATGTTAAGTGCAACTCATTACAATATTGTGTAGCCATTTAAGGCATGAATTATAAAAATTATGTAGAGCTAAACATATTCTATATTTTTATGGGAAAACATAGTATGAAATTGTGAATATAGGTGAAAATTGGAAGGAAATATGAAAAATAGAAACAGTTGGATGATGGTAGGATTATGAGCAATTTTATCTTTAAAAACAGTTTCCTTCAGTGATATTGCCATTCTTCCATTCTAAATTGGGCCAAATAGTACTCCTATTCTTTGCCAGATTCCAAATTGACTGGGGGAAAAAAAGGAGTGGCAGGTAGATGTCAAAACAAGCACCTTTGTTTCTGAAGCTGATATTGAAGTGTGTAACTGAGATATGAGCCACATTAGGCCTGCTCACTAAGCTCCAGATTTACCTCCCCAGTTGCAGCAATACCCCCAGACCAAAGCAGGCTTCTCCCTCATCCTGTCCCACTCCTGCCCCCATTTGGAGTTGATCCCAAGAAGATGAATAGTGGAACTGAATTGAACCCACCCAATTTATTCTACCCAAATAAGTCATTACACCTGAATGAGGGCCAGAGAGAGGCCAAGAGTTACTGTTTGAATTTCTACCACAAAAGATGAGGAATCATGAAGATTTGGAGGTAAGTGTTCTAATAGTAATGGTAATTTTAGAGTAAAAATGTTATGTGTATGTTTTGGTATTCTTGATGAGCTAAAGTGTAGTTATTGAAACTTAATTACTTTTATTTTTGTTAGAATCTTCAGTATATCCCAAATAATGAAATTATTTTTTGCTTTTAGGCGTTTGAATGCAGAATTAGAGGCAAAAACAGCTGATCTGGTTCGTCAAGCTGAGGAAGTAATAGTAAGTGAATGTGCAATTATTATTTCATGTGAGTGCTAGTTTTTTAACTTTCTAAAGTGCCCAAAGCATAAATTTTTAGGTCAATGAATTATCACAGATTGAATATGAATATATGAATAGATGTATATATATATGCACGAATGTTTTTGATATGCACACATTTTCTAAAAGCCACTGAAAAAGCCTTTTCTATTTAGATGTTCCAACCATCTAATTAGTAAGAACACTGATATTTAATAATCTTTCCCACTACTTTAAAATTAATGTTTGAGAGTAAATGTATAGAATTAATGCTGGTAATTCAGTAAGGATAGAAATAAAATGGGCTCAGGACAAAAGTTGAATAAAGGATAGCAATCATCACTAATAGTCAGATGATAATTTGTTTCTTAAATTCTCCAGTTGGTTGTAATTCAGATTCTTAGGGCTAGTCTAGTCAGATTTATAGTTAGAAAAAAATGTAGTGGTTATATCACTAGACAAAGTAAGCATATTTTGCTCCATTCTGGCTACCAAATTGGTTATTCCTACTTTAAGCAGCAACTTAAGCATTAGCATTCCCATTATTTATTGATAGGATATTAGGATATAGTAGTATTCCTTAGACGAATAAAGTAGCTGCTTTCAAACTTTTTTCAGTTTTTACTCTATACTTTTTTCTTTTAAATTCTCCACCCATCCTCCTTGGGGGTGGTAGTGAAAAATAGGCAATAATTTGTTTTAATGCCTTATACAGATCCATCATTATTTGTTACTTTTGGAATAAGAAACATATATATATATATAATATTTCAGGTAATATATTTAGATAATGGTTACAGATTTGCTAGTTTCATTTATAATTAAATATTTTACTAAAAATAAATTTTTATTATATCTTCTAGTTTTTGCCAGTGTCTAAAGTAGGAAAATAATTAACAAACCCAGTGTTCGAGAAGAATGAAGGATTCATTCATTATACATTCTGCTCCAAGAATCCTCTAATAAGGATGATTCCCTGCCCCCCCTCCCCCCAAAACAGTAGAGTAGAAGCCTGGGAAGGACTGGGAAAGGGGAGAGGACATTCCTGCGCCACGGGAGCTAATGGATATAACTTTTACTGCGTTGAATTTTTGTTCACTCATTTTCACTTCTTGATATATCATTGCCAAAAGCTTTTACTCTTAGTGCTTTAGTGCTTCATGGTCTTCACATTGAAGCTCTGGGGCATGGGTGGCTCAGTCGGTTAGGCATCTGATTCTTGATTTCTACTCAGGTCATGATCTCAGGGTTGTGAGTTCGAGCCCCACGTTGGGCTCTGCACTGGGCATGGAGCGTGCTTAAGATTCTTTCTCTCCCTCTGCCCCTCCTCCTCCACCACCCCCCATGCACTCTCTCTCTCAAAAAAAAAAAAAAATTGAAGCTTTGCCTGATTTGAGACAAGTTTTTCTACCCATTAAACGAATTTATGCTTTAATTTCCTGTGAGCCTAATTTCCTTTGCATGTTACACAAGTTGGAAGCCTAATGTAGTGGGGAAGCAGGAGGTAGATAAAATCAGATAAAGGCATTGATACATTTTTCCCTTAGAATTGACTTTCTTAATCCAGAATGAATGAAAGGTGGAACTACATTGTTATAGACCTTATATTCATACCATAGCATTTGAGTTCTATGCCTTGATTTCATGGAAACTGTGGACAACTCTGAAATGATTAATGATCAGAAAGGTACTTGACTATATCCTGGTTTTGTGGTTTTTCTCTGTGACTTATCTTTATTCATTTAACTAGAGAGATCAGCGAGAAGTACAATCAAGGCCGGTCTCAACACAAATTAAATCATATGAAAAGGAAGAGGATTGCAGTTTAAGGTAAGTAACTTAAATTCCCAAACACCATTTTTTTGATGATGTATGTAGATCTTTTGTTACGTAAAATCTTTTTTGCATGTAAGTATTAAAAATCTATAATTTGAAAAATAATGTAATATATAATATACTAATAAAGGGGCGCCTGGGTGGCTCAGTTGTTAAGCGGCTGCCTTCAGCTCAGGTCATGATCCCAGGGTCCTGGGATGGAGCCCCGCATCGGGCTCCCTGCTCAGTGGGAAGCCTGCTTCTCCCTCTCCCACTCTCCCTGCTTGTGTTCTCTCTCACTGTGTCTCTCTCTGTCAAATAAAAAAATAAAATCTTAAAAAATATATATATATACTAATAAAATGGAGGCTTATATGAACCAGACATGATGTAAACCCTTTACCTACTTTATGTCATTTAGTCCTTAAAGTATTATTTTGAAATAAATATTATTGTCCTCATTATAAAAATGAGGAAATAGGAGCTTAGCAAAATTCTGTAGCTTGCCCAAGGATATATAGATAATATGTGATTTCACTGAGATGCAAACCACAGTTGGTAAGATTTCTGAACCTTTTCTTACATAGTATACTATCTTTCTTTTTTTTAAATTCCATATGAAAATTAGATAAAAATAAGTTCGTAAAAATAAAATAGATCTGTTTTTCCTTGAATTTCACGTGAACTTCAGGTATGTCAAAAAAATAGAGAATCGGGACGCTTGGGTGGCTCAGTCAGTTAAGTGTCTGCCTTCAGCTCAGGTCATAATCCCAGAGTCCTGGGATCGAGTCCCACATCAGGCTCCTTGCTCGATGGGGAGCCTGGTTCTCCCTCTGTGTGCTTCTCCCTCTGCCTGCCACTCCCCACCTGCTTGTGCTCTCTCTCTCTCTGACAAGTAAATAAAATCTTTAAAAAAAAAATAGGGAATGGAGATGTATTTAGGAATAAACTTAACAGGAAACAAAGGATCTGTGTGAATAAAAGTATAAAATGGTATAGCAGAGGCAATGGTGTTCACCCAACATTCCTAGCTGCTATGAGCAGAAGTCAGATTATTCTCTTCCAAGCCAACTGATAGGAGTTGTATTTTGAACCTCCAGCTGACTCTTTCTCTGCCATGATCAGTGAAAATCCAGTTAATGAAACCTCCCAGCCTAGTCTCTGGGTGACCATGTGGAACTTATGGGAAAAAAGGGCCCTCTATCCCTCTCTACTGCTACTTTGTGTTAAGCCGCTGAAATTTTGGGGTCGATCTCCTAGCTTATCCTAACGAATACAGCAATTGGTATTGAGAATTAGGTGCCATATGACAAAAACTAGGAAAGTGTGTCTTTAGCTTCGTAGTTAGGTGGTAGCCAGCAAGGAAACTGATCCTGGAGGCTGGAAAGGTAGAGAGGTACTATTAATATAGTGGCAATGGATTTAGTAAAGCTGCCACCTTTGGTAAATTGGAAGGCAGAACAGGTGTCAAATGAACTTGTGCTCTTGGGGGGGGGAGGGGAGAGGTTGGAAAACAACATTAGTAGTATGTGCTGTTACTATTAGTTGTATTCTTTCCACACTGAATTGTCTTGGCAGTCTTGTCAAAAATCAGCTGACTGGAGGCACATGGTTTCATTTGTGGACTCTCAATTCTATTCCATTGATCTATATATCTGTTCTTATGCCAGTACCACACTGTCTTGATTACCCTTGCTTTGTAGGGTTAGCTGCTTTTATTTTTTTATTTTTTAAGATTTTATTTATTCATTTGAGATACAGAGAGAGAGAGAGAAAGAGAGAGCACGAGCAGCGGGAGAGGCAGGCAGAGAGAGGGAGAAGCAGGCTCCTTGCACAGCAGGGAGCCCGATGTGGGGCTCCATCCCAGGACCCTGGGATCATGACCTGAGCCAAAGGCAGACGCTTAACCGACTGAGCCACCCAGGCGCCAATTGAGGAAGTCTTTGAGGAACAAAGCCTATTAAAGCTCAGCTTTGAAGCAAAGATCAGACTAAAGATGTGGTCTTCATGCTATTGATAAGACTTTATAATGGATTAAGGTTCTTCAGGGCAAGGATCATTTTGAATGGCACCTAGTGAAACTTCCAATTAGATAAAATGGCTCCAGGCAAAGCTCTAACTAAAGGTATAGTCTCCCTATAGAAGCCTGACAACCTCAAAGTAAGCCATTATTAAAGTGGGGGGGTGGGGAAGAGGGTGAGGTGTTCAGTGTAAAGAAATATAGTCTTGGAAAGAACAGTGGATGTGGTAATGGCACATGGAACTGACTGGAATCAAACAGATATGAAATCCACTAGTTTTGGGAGGGAGTTGTACCAGCTAAGAAACTTTGAATGATAGACTAAAACTGTGACTGTTTAAATCTCAAAACAGCTGTAGGTCCTCCCAGTCTTCTAAGATGAAGAAGCAGGCTGTGAGAGCAGCATGGCCCTAACAGGGTAGAATGTTTAAACACCTTAGAGGACTTACAAACAAAAAGAAATGCCCATCCCCCATCTAGTCTCTCTCCCTGCCTACTTCCTCTCCAGTAACCATCAGTTTGTTCTCTAGAGTTAGGAGTCTGTTTTCTGGTTGGTTTCCCTGTCTTTTCTCCCCCCCCCCCCCCCATATTCCATTTATTTGACGTTCTGAAAAAGGTAAAACTATAGCCACAGAATCTGATTAGTGTTTGTGTGTTATGGAGGGGAGGGAATTAACTACAAAGAGTCACAATGGAAATTTTGGTGATGATGGAAATTGTCTCTATCTTAGTTGTTGTGGTGGCTACATGACCATAAAATTTGTTAAAATTTATAGAACTGTTTGGGACTCAGTCAGTTAAGCCTCTGCCTTCAGCTCAGGTCATGATCCCATGGGTCCTGGGATCGAGTCCCGTATTGGGCTCCTTGCTCAACAGGGAGCCTGCTTCTCCCTCTGCCTGCCGCTCCCCCTGCTTGTGCTCTCTTTCTCTCTGACAAATAAATAAAATCTAAAAAAAAAAAAAATTTATAGAACTGTAGAGGTGCCTGGGTGGTTCAGTCGGTTGGATGTCTGACTCTGACATGATCTCATGGCTTGTGGGATTGAGCCCCACATTGGACTTCTTGCTCAGTGGGGAGTCTGCTTGAAAGATTCTATCTTTCTGCCCCTCCCCCTACTTAAGTGCTCTCTCCCTCCCTAAAAATGAATAAAACTTTAAAAAAATTTATAGAACTGTAAATCTAAAAAGTGTATTTTAAATTTTTTTATATCATTTGATATACACACATGAAACTACATATCCTTATATGTAATGCTTTCTGATATTTTATGGGAAATGATGTTTAGCAGTTATCAAAATTCCAAAATTTGTATTACAAAGATTAGGCACAGCTTTTATTAAGTAAACTAAAAGACTGAAATGATGGTAACAACAGCTAATCCTTAGATTCTGTTGAAGCAAGTGAGAGACTGATTTCACAAGCATAAAAATAAATCTGTCGGTTTCCTTTCACTAAATTTTCCTTAAGTGCAAAGTGGTGATGACACCTCTGTTTACCTTGATCAGGTGGCTTTTTAAAAAAAATGCTACTGTTTGAACAGATGGCTTTTACCATGTGAAACATGCCCCTTGACTATTATTTGGAAATTGCTGAAGATGGGAGGTAATTCTGTAAAGAGACAGTCCATTTTGGCTTGGAACAATCATTCATGTAAATGATGGTGGTCAGGCAGTATATATTATAATAGATCTTCAACATCCAAGGTTACTCTGCCAAACAATATGGTCAGGAAACCAGAATTTAGTTTCCTAATAGTATAGCATACATATCCTTCATTCTGCTGGAAGCAAGATTTACCACACAAATCATTTCAGTTATGTTACACACAAACCTTTCATGGAGAAGTGTAACAAAAATAGTTAGAGTACTGTGTTTTAGTTCATTTTTCATGGAAATACACTAGCAAAATAATGTCACTCTGCTAAACCTGAGGGAGACCAATAACCCTTAAATGTCTTTTGGCTGATACATATGTGTATCAGGGGAGCGGAGATGGAAGATGTAGAAAATGTAAGGAAATGGCAAATATTAATTTGATATGAAGGCCATTAAAGAGGACGCTTAAGATTTGAATAAAACTTGGTAACAGTTTAATGTCGTATGTGAGAATGATTCTTTAGTCTCTATAATTTTAAGGTATTTTGAAAGCCACCTTTTTTCTTCCCAGAGCTATTTCTAGTTCTTTAAAAGGTTGTATATAATATTATCTAAGTATATTTTTGTGTTTAATATTGAAATAACTTAGTTGAGTAGGTGGCATATGACAGAAAGTAATTTTGTTTTTGTGTTCTTATGGTTATGAATTCTCAAGGGATATGATGGAGGGGTTTTTTTTGGTTTTTTGGTTTTTAATAGTAACAGTAGTAACATGGTAGATTTTCAGAAATATTAATACATGTAATGGGGATGATCTAGACAATTGATCGGGGTAGGCAAACTCATCCAATAAAATTTACAAAATTTTTGTATTTGTGGGCTTTACAGTCTTTGTCATAACTTCTCAACTTTGCTGTTGTAGTGAGAAAACAGCCATAGATAATGTGAAATGAATGGATGTGGGTGGATTCAGCCCATGGGCCATAAAGTGCAGACCCCATAAACACTCTTTGTTTTAAATAAAAACATATTTTGAAAACTGTGCATAGAAATGAGTTGTATTTTAGAGGTCAAACTTCCAGTAATAAAATGAGTTAGTTGTGGCAATGTAATTACAGCACACGGAATATAGTCAATAATATTATAACAACTTTGTATGGTAACAGATGGTAACTAGACCTGTTGTGGGGGCCATTTTGTAATATATAAAGATATTGAATCACTGTGATGTACACCTGAAACTAATAGGCTATTGTATGTCAATTACACTTCAATAAAAAAAAGAATGTGAAGTTAAAATGTTAAAAAAAAATGAGTTGTATTTTAGATGTATTTATTCATGCATTTAACAAATACTTATTCAGTGACAGTTTAAGAGCTCATATGCTAGGTACTATGCCATGTACTAGGCATAGAGCAGTGAACAAGGCAGACATGATTCCTACCCTCATGGAGTTCACAGTGTAATGGGGAAAACAGACACTGACCAAGTATTTAAATGCATTTACAAAGGATAACACTGGATGGGCTCACACTAAAAAGCCTTGTGGTGAATCATTTTGTAAAATTGATAATCCCTGTGTATTACCAATAATCACTCCTTATGATTTTCATTTGTTAAAATTTGTGCTATATTTCACTACAAAAATATTGGTATTATAGTATATCTTCTCAAAGGTGAATTATTTAACCAAAGAACTTTTGTTGTTTTTGATACTTATCAAAATAAATTAACAGGTGCATGACTAGAATCATAGCAAAGTCTACTTGATAGTTGTCTATTTTCCCTTTCAGATATAATTACTGTTCAATTTTATTGTGTCTCACTTTAGTATCATCTATTGTTAACGTGTAATGTTTATTTTTGGTCTGTAGAGGTCTGTTGTCTGAAGGGATAGTTCATCTACATTCAGAAACTAAGGTATGAAATCAAACTTTTGGGGTGCCTGGGAGGCTCAGTTGGTTAAGAGGCTGCCTTCGGCTCAGGTCATGATCCCGGGATCCTGGGATCGAGTCCCGCATCGGGCTCCCTGCTCAGCGGGGAGCCTGCTTCTCCCTCTCCCTCTGCCTGCTCTCCCCCTGCTTGTGTGCTCTCAAATAAATAAATAAAATGTTTAAAAAAAAATAAAACTTTCTATAAATATAATTACATTCTGTAGAATTTAGGTTATTTTTTAGAATTTTCTTAGAATAAAACAGAGTATGACTATAGAAATAGAATATAAGCCTTGATACTTAGAAGAAATGCCTTCATGAAATGTTGCTCATAAAATAAATTGAATCCTTTTTTGTTTCATAATTTCACTGAATAATCTGGATATATATTGGAAAAAATTCTAAGTAAAATGAATCTGTAACCTAAGCATTTTTAGTTTCCTCTCTGAAGCCCAGATTTACTAGATATACCACCCAAAAAAGAAAAGTATTTATATACAAAGGAGGTAATTTGAGAGGTTTATTCATTCATTTAAATATTTACAGTGTGTAGATCACTATTGCAGGTGCTGGGTGAATTGGGATCTACACGTTCCCCACCTACTAGGATCTAGGCCAAGGGAACGGTGTATGTGAAGGTCTGTCTGGGGAATAATCAGTGAGGAGAACTAATTTCTGTGAGCCAGAACATCCAGTTTAATGTTCCACTAGGTAGCTGATTATCCTTGAATTTTGGAGGCTCATTTTCCTTATCTTTGAATCTATTGGTGCCAGTGATATCTAGGTCTTTTCCTAGATATATACAATTCTGGGATTCTTTAAAATACAATTTGATTAATTCCATGAAAATAGCAATTCTTGTGTGTCGTAAACTAGCAATTCTGTGTATTACAAAATTGCTTTCCATGACAAATGATTAGAATCTAATTAATCAATAATTTAAATTCTTTTGATGTAGCCAAAGACCGAAAATGTTGATGCAGTAAACAAGGTTCAAAATAAACTGCGCTCTGCGAATAAAGGAAGGAAAACAAATTCAAGGTATAGAACAGTTTTAAAAGTATTACTTTCCTTTTTTAGTTTTATGATTCACAGTACCATCATTTTAATTATTAAGCTCTTTTTCTTTTTCCAGATCTTTTTATATCTTACATTGTCTATATCTTACCTACATTCAATAACTTAAAACATGTTCTACTCAGAAATGTCTTGCAGCAGTTACTAAACATTTTATGTTCTCTCAACAAAATCGCCACATTTCAAATTTTTAAGTGTTAATGAGATATTTTCTGGGAGCTAAGACTAGAACGTAGGTGTCTTTCTCTGCCTAGTTCTCTCAAACTAGTCTACTTTTTTGAGCATTTAATAGAACACTATACATTATTGTGTATCTTGACATACAGAATGATTTGGTGTGCTCAAAGTAAGACTGTAGTATCATTGTAATTGACATTCTTGTTTTTGGTGGGAAAGAATTCAAGACTGTCTTAGTGTTTTAAGCTTGACAAGGGGACCAAGAGGCTCTCTGGGATAGGAGACCTAGAAAAGGAAGGTCACACCTGCAGTGGATTGTACCAGCCAGCTTCTTTTTATTAAATGTGTGTTACTTACCCAAAATGATAATTGCATTGTAATCCTAGAAAAATCTTTTTTAATGTTTGTGTCTTTTAATTGGCTAAATAACTTTTTTGCTTTTTGAATAAAAGACAGAAAAAATAGAATGAAGGGATAACAAAGAGAAAATCTAAAAAAGAAGAAAAGAGAACATATCTGCATACATAACGTAACTGGTTATCTTATTTTCAGACTTCAAAATTACTTTTTAAAGAAAAGGTTGTTTTTCTAAGTAGAATTCTGAAGGCTTTGCTTATGTGGTAAAAGGTAAGTTAGGCTTTAAGTAAAAAGTTAAAAATAAGGCTTTTAGAACCACAAACAGTGGGTTGGGGCTGGCCCATCCTTAATGCCTTTACTAGTGACTTTTATTTCATATTTCTTCCCTTGTTAAGAAAACCAAATCTAATTTTTTGGTTGATTTTTGATTCTGGTTAGAAAGTGTTTCGTTAGGTGGAAAAAAAGAGTTGATTTTGATTGAGCTAATAACTTCACTCTAATTTTTTTCTTAAGAGGTATTATTCTTTAGTGTTTGCAGAATTATGGCTAGAAGCAATATCACTTTATACAGTTCTTCTTCAGCAGCATGTAATTTAAAAGCTGCAGTATGGATTTGACCTGGAAGGCTAAGTTCAGCACTCTTAGTTTTGACGTTTACTTGTTTGGAGGCAATGTCTAGACAAACTGGCTTCATAAGCCTTCTCTAACTCTGTAGCTGTGTGATTCATAAAAATTGAAAGTCAGTTAAGTCTTTTATAGTATCATCCTTGAAAGTATCAATTGTAGATTTCATAAATTTAAAATTAATTTTGATCTGCTTTGTTATTTGAATAAAATCATATCTCCTTTGTATATTGACATTGTATGTAATATATGAATGTGTATATATGTGTGTGTTTATTTATTTATAGTATAAAATTGAAATACTCTGATGTACAGACTGCCAATGATGTTGCTATTCCAGAGGATTTTTCAGACTTTTCTCTTGCAAAAACAATTAGCAGACTTGAAGGGCAACTGGAGGAAGAAGGTTTGCCTGATTATATAGATGATGATATTTTTTGTGGTGTTAGTAATAATATTGGAACAGGTAAGTTTTATTTTTGTCCTTATATCACATTTACTTAGAAAAAGATATTTGGGAACGATTTTTCTTGCATTTAAAAAATGTGTTGTGATATCTTGCATTTGTTTCAAAATCATCTAGTGGGACATGATGGTAAGAGGAGTGAGTGGAATTATAGATGAAATAAAATTGGTTTTGAGTCAATAATTGTTGAAAATGGGTGATGGGAAAGTGGTTTTTCATTGACATCATCTCTATATATATGTTTGACATTTTCCATTATAAAAAGTAAAAATGAAAAACATTATATGGAGGGTGCCTGGATGGCTCAGTCACTTAAGCGCCAACTCTTGATTTCAGCTCAGGTCATGATCTCAGGGTGGTGGGATTGAGCCCTGTGTCAGGCTCCCCACTCATGAGGGAGTCTGGTTGAGATTATCTCCCTCTCCCAAAGCCCCTCCCCCCTCAATAAATAAATCTTTAAAAAAAAAGACTGTATGGTATTGGTTTCATTGACCACATTTCAACCAAGCTTAAAATGCCCCATAGCTTATCATTAAAACATTAAAATAATTTGGGGGGGGCAAAGGGAGAAGGAGAGAGAGAATCTTAAGCAGGCTTCATGCCCAGTGCAGAGCCCAATGCAGGGCTCCATCTCACAACCCTGAGATCATGGCCAGAACCAAAATCAAGAGTCGGACACTAAACCAACTGAGCCACCCAGGTGCCCCACATTAAAATAATTTTTAAAACCCAATGTTTCTTTGAATTCCTTTCATCTGTTGATACTGTATTCTACTTACTGCATGTTAAAAGTATAAATGAATGGTTGATGTGGCATCAGTTAAAATGATCACATTAGTTTTCTAATGAATGTAATTTTCTTTCTTATAAACTTGTTCTCTGCATATCACTTTGAAAAATAATACTAAGTTTAGATCATCCAAAAACAGAATTTAGTTACCAGTAATGCCTTTAGAACTGTTGAATTTATGAGGAGCTACCTATGCGTTTATAAACAAAGAATAAGACAATTGAGTGTATTTGAACATGGTTAATACTGAACTATAGTTGTGACGTCAGGCAAGCCACTTAGCCTCTCTGTAATAGCAGTTTCTTCATTTCAAAATTTAGCAGTTTGTATGAGATGGTCATAAGCTGTATCTTTAAAATTCTCTTGATTCTGTGAAAACCGTAATAATTTATATGTGTAATGATTATTGTGCTGCATGCTACTTAGTCATAAATGAGCAATTCATTTATGAATTTATTACATTTACTGACTTATCTAAACTCTCTGGGGGTACTTTTCAGAAGAGAAGGTAAGTGAAGCAGGAAGTTGCCTTTATGTCTCTGTCAAGATGCCTTCAAGGACACAGTGGTCACACATTGACTGTTCTTCACCCATGGCCCTGTTAGAATATTCCTGCTTTTAGATACATAGAACCAGTACAAACAGACTACCTTAAATTGCTAGTTTCTTTTTATTGCTGAATCACCTCTCTGCCACTTTGCCTCCCTCCCTTCCCTTTCCAGACTCTTTGGCCAAGGTATCTTCCCTTCTGGCAGAGTTTTCTCTTATTCCAGATGATTGCCTGAATGGCTGTACAGGCAAGAGGAAAAGATTAAAAAAAAAAAGTAGCTTAGTAGCACATACTGCTCTGTAAGACTAAAGTCAGAGGGAGATGGGGATGGGAAGTTAATGCTATGGGCCTGCACAGGTGAGAGCATTCGGCTCCTTGGTTACACTGAGGTTAGTTGGGGGAGAGAAAGAGATGGACGAAGTCATGCTCTCCCATTCTTCCTCCTTTCTCCTTAGAGACCAACTACTGCAAACTTCACATTTTTAAATATATCATTTCCCTTCTATACTGTGCTAACCTGGAGTGTCATGAGAGGCTTGAAGGAGATTTGAGGCTAGACAGGTCTAGGTGGGTTAGAGCCAGTCATCGTTAATCAGCTCCATGGTAACACTGGGAACATTTAGTAAGAAGAGCTTTGGAATGGAAAGTATATATGGAGATGTTTGTGCTCTTTTGGGATATATCCTAATGACTCCTCAGAGACAGTTCAGGGTGTTTATTCAAGATAAGATCCATGAAGGCAAAGCTTGTCTTATCCCTACTATGCCTGGAACATTATAGAGACTTAATGTATATTTTTTGGATAAATGATCAAATGAATTATGGAGTGAGTTCTAAGTTCACTTTTCACTTTATTTACTTACATAGTTCTAGAAACATCAAAGATTTGCTGCTGATATCATTGAATAAAGAATTTTAGGTAGCAATGAAATACCAAAGGCAGATCTTAGGGACTGTGGGAGAAAACTTCAGCAGTAAGGTATTAGTGTGTTTCTTTGCTTCTAAGGCACATAGACTACATTTTAACTTCCGTGAAATCGGGATATGTGTTACAATCACTAGTATTTTACAATCACAGTGGCTGAGATTGAAGTTGAGTTTTGCTAGAGAGGTTTTATGTTTGTTTCTGCCAAACACCTGGGGACGTTACCAACCTGAAACCACTTTAAATTCTGACTGAGGTATTTTGGATCACATTGGTAAAGACAAATTCAGTCTGCAGACTTAACGTGAGTACTGGCTTGTGGTTTAGATTCTCAGGAGAGGTTTTTGTTGTTTTTCCCTTCTTTACTCAGTTCCAGGTTGAGATGTGAAGAGTTCCTTTCTGTTGGGTGGATTTGTTTTTCATTTATCTTTATAGTATGGGTATTTAGTGTCTTTAGTGTTCTCAGACAGGGATCTCCTGTTAAATTCCCCATCTTGAACATTTTTTCCTCATAGAATAATGGTCTGTCTTGCAATTGGTGGCATCTTAGATTCAGTGAAAGACAGTAAATGTAATTATTTAAATCCACAGAAGCCCAGAACAGATTTTTAAAGGCCAAACTCCGTGTTATGCAGGAGGAATTGGATAATGTTGTATATGAATGCAATAAAAAGGTAAAAACCTGTCAAAATAAATCCTCTAATATTCAAAGATATTTTAGGAGCAGTTTCAGTTATTTTTTAAAATATATTCATTGAGATGTAATTTACAGTTAAATTTTGAATTATATGTAAATACTAAATTTTATTCTATTTTGAGATGTTGAATTTTCACAGCTAAAGAATATTAAATACTTGTTAGCAGTTAGAATTTTCTGTATAAGATTTACAAATGTAAGCTCTTAAATAAAAATAAAACATCTGAGTTCCTTTTTTTTTTTTTTTTAAAGATTTTATTTATTTATTTGACAGAGAGACAAAGTGAAAGAGGGAACACAAGCAGAGGGAGTGGGAGAGGGAGAAGCAGGCTTCCTGCGGAGCAGGGAGCCCGATGCGGGGCTCGATCCCAGGACACTGGGATCATGACCTGAGCCAAAGGCAGACGCTTAACGACTGAGCCACTCAGGCGCCCCCTGACTTCCATTTTTGAAGATAAAAATGGAATGCAGTTTGTTTTTCTTTGTGAAGTGAATATAAGTATCTCAAATCATATGAAGCTCCTTTTTGTTTTCTGCTTTATGTTGTGATACCAAACCTTGTGCATTTTTTCACATAATCTATAATTTCCTAACTATAGGAAAATGAAATTCAGGATTTAAAGTCTCAGATAAAAAACTTTGAAGAAGATTGTGTGAGACAGCAGCGAACAATTAATTTGCAACAGTCTCAAACAGAAAAATATAAAACTCTTTTTGAAGAGCTAAATAAAAAATGTGATGGATTACAGCAACAGCTGTCTTCAGTAGAAAAGGTAATTTTGCTATTTTTCTGGACCTAATGTTAAAGGTACTATAAAACATTAAAGTTACATATTTGTGTGGGCACCACTTTTGCTTGTTCAGTTATTTTGTTAGTATTTACTAAAAAGTCTTCCACCATATAAGAATATTTTTTAATCGCTTTATTGAAATACAATTCACATATAATACAAATCACCCTTTTAAAGTATACAGTTCAGTGGCTTATTAATATATTCGGGGGTTGTGTAGCTGTCACCATGATCAATGTTAGAACATTTTCATTACCCCAAAGAAAGACACTCCATACCCTTTAGCCACTGTACCCCAACCCTCTTCCCCCAGTCCCCTCCAGCTCTAGGCAACTTCTAATCTATTTTCTGTTGATAGATTTGCCTATTTTGGACATTTGGACGTTCTATATATAGAATCATAAAATATGAGGTATTTTGTGACTGACATCTTTTGTTTAAGAATGTTTTTGAGGTTCATCCACGTTGTAGTACATATCAGTACTTCATTCCTTTTTATAAAGTAATATTCTGTTATATGGATAAAACACATCTGTTTATCAGTTGATGGACATTTGTGTTATTTCCACTTTTGGGCTATTTTGAATAATGCTGCTGTGAACATTAACATACAAGTTTTTGTGTAGACATATGTTTTCATTTGTCTTGGGTATATACCTAAGAGTAGAATCATTGGATCATATGGGAACCCTGTGTTTAACCTTTTGAAAAACTGTCAACTATTTTCCAAGCTAGCCGTACCATTTGTACATTTCCACCAGTAGTGTGTAAGGGTTCCATTTTCTACACATCCTCACCAACACATGTTAGATTATCTTTTTGATTATAGCCATTCTAATCATGTGAAGTGGTTATCGCGTCATTTTGATTTGCATTTCTCTGATAACTAAAGATGTTGAGCATCTTTTCATATGTTTATTGGCCATTTTTATATCTTCTTTGGAGAAATGTCTGATCAGATCCTCTGCCCATTGTTTAAATTGGAATTTTTAAATTATTGAGTAGTAAATTTTTTTATATATTTTAGAGTCAAGTCCCTTATCAGATACATGATTTCTAAATACCTCTCCTATTCTTCAGGTTTTCTCTTCGTTTTCTTTACAGTGTCCTTTGAAGCACAAAATTTTTTGATTTTGAAGCCCAGCATATCTAATTTTCCTTTGGTTGTTTGTGCTTTTGGTGTCAAATGTAATGGGCTAATACATTTTAAAGAAGCTATCCCATTAAACAAACTTATATTAATGTACCATTGAGATAATAAAAATAAAACATACTGTATGGTATTACTTTGTAAGACTTATAAAAATTATGTAAAATAAGAGATTTAGGGAGTAAGAAATTATGCCTTCATTTCTATATTTTTCTTTAGTGTGTTCATGTAAAAGCATATTTTTGACCATTTTGGTCTTGTATAATTTTTTTTTTTTTTTTTTAATTAGAGAGTGAGAGAGCGAGCGCAAGAGGGGGTAGGGTTAGAGGGAGAAGCAGACTCCCCGCCGAGCAGGGAGCCCAATGTGGGACTCGATCCCGGGACTCCGGGATCATGACCTGAGCCGAAGGCAGTCGCTTAACCAACTGAGCCACCCAGGCGCCCCATTGGTCTTGTATAATTAGCATTATCTTCTGATAATAAATTTCTTAACATTGGCTTTACTGAGATAAAATTTGTATACAGTACATCACCCTTTTTAATTATACAGTTCTGTGAGTTTTGACAAATACATAGTCATATAACTAGTGCCATAATTGAGATACAGAACAGTTCCACCATCCCTAAAAATTCCCTTGTGAATTTAGTCAAGTCATCCTCCTAATTCCAGTCTAAGGCAACCACTGATCTGGTTTCGGTTCTTATATTTTGGCCTCTTCCAGCATATCAGGTAATTAGAATCACATAGAGTTACTTAGTAGGCTTTTGAGTCTGTTTTTTTCATTTGCATAAGGCAATTGAGGTTAGTCCATGTTGTAGTCTGTTCCTTTTCATTACTGAGTAGTGTAACATTGAATGGATATACCATATTTTGATTACCTATATATCTGGAAATCAAAATTAATTATGGTATCTAATAGTGTAAGCCAGTACTATTCAATATGGTAGCTCACTATATGTGGCTAGTCCAAATTGTGACATGCTGTAAGTTTAAAATAAATACCAGATTTCGAAGCCTTAATAAATAATAAAAAAGTAATATTTTTATATTGATTACATATTAAAATATTTTGGATATATTGGGGTAAGTGAACTATAGCATTATAATTAATTTCACTTGTTTCTTTTTAAAGTAGCTGCTTTAAAATTACATATGTGGTTCACATGTTGGTCTAAAAAATATAGACAAGTGTTCTTTTTTTTTTTAATTAAATTTTATTATGTTATGTTAGTTACCATACTATGATTAGTTTTTGATGTAGTGTTCCATGATTCATTGTTTTCGAATAACACCCAGTGCTCCATGCAGTATGTGCCCTCCTTAATACCCATCACCAGGCTAGCCCATCCCCCCACCTCCCTCCCCTCTAAAACCCTCTGTTTCCCGGAGTCCATAGTCTCTCATGGCTCTTTCTCCCTCCAACTCCCCCCCCCTTCATTTTTCCCTTTCTTCTCCTAATGTCCTCCATGCTATTCCTTATGTTCCACAAATAAGTGAAACCATATGATAATTGACTTTCTCTGCTTGACTTATTTCACTTAGCATAATCTCCTCCAGTCCCATTCATGTTGATGTAAAAGTTGGGTATTCATCCTTTCTGATGGCTGAGTCATATTCCATTGTATATATGGACCACATCTTCTTTATCCATTTGTCTGTTGAAGGGCATCTTGGTTCTTTCCACAGTTTGGCTATTGTGGACATTGCTGCTATGAACATTGGGGTGCATGTGGCCCTTCTTTTCACTACATCTGTTAGACAAGTGTTCTAAGAAAAAACCTGTTGTATCTGGGAAACCAGTATTTTTATTTGTCATGATACTTTATCATTTGTCATATGCTACCAAGTTTCTGGGCATATCATCATTATCATTTCACATAATCTTTTTTTTTTTTTTAAGATTTTATTTATTTATTTGAGACAGAGAGAATGAGAGAGAGAGAGCACATGAGAGGGGGGAGGGTCAGAGGGAGAAGCAGGCTCCCTGATGAGCAGGGAGCCTGATGCGGGACTCGATCCAGGGACTCCAGGATCATGACCTGAGCCGAAGGCAGTCGCTTAACCAACTGAGCCACCCAGGTGCCCCATTTCACATAATCTTGAAACCTTACCTACATCTTTGATTCTCTTCTTGTTCCTGGCCTTTATACCATACCATCCTATGCATTCTTCAAATGTTTTGCATTCATTTTTTCTTTTCAATTTCCATTGCCCCTTCTTGGTTCAAGCTATTATTATTTCTGAATCCTCCTCACTGGTTATTTTATGTCCTTTCTCTTTTTCTCATCCATTGTATCTTGTACTCTATCAATAGATTAATGTTCTCAAAAGACTACATTGATTATAACTCTACCTTTGTATGGGCAGAAATGGAACTAACATTTTTTTTGAGTACTATGTGTCAGGCAAAACCTTTTACAGAAAGAGAAACTGAGTCTGAGAGGTTAAACAAAGTGCCCAGGGTCATACAGGTAGTGGCAGTGCAGGATTCAAACCATGTTTGTCTGACTCCAAAGTCTGTGCTCTTCCTACAGATCATGTAGACTCTCCAACCCCTCAAAATTAAATGGTCTTAAACACACAGCTATTCCAAAATCTCATTGCTGTTTAGAGTTAAATATTTGAAACCTTTGAGTCATAATGCGTGTTCTGAGCTGTTATGATACATAGACTATCTGAAGATTTTTATGACTTTCATTAGCTCGGAACTTCCCATCTTGAGTCCTTATCTACATACCAGGAAGAGAGGTGTAACAACTCTCATGGGTTATGTGGAACTCAAGATTGAATCTTTTTTTTTTTTTTGCTAATTCTGCTCACTATCTATCTCTAAAAACAAACCTCAGTGTACAGTCGATAGAAATGCAAAACAGAGCTTGAGTTTGATGGAATTGCTTCTATAAACCTATAAAAGCCAGCTATTTAAAAAATTACTATGCATATTAACTTACACTAACAGGTAGAGCCATTTCTAAAACATAAAAGCAGAAAACATTTTATTTCAGCATTGAATTTTGTTTTTCAATTAATGATCTGTTTTAAAATCAACTTTATTGAGAAATAAATACAATTAAATATACTTGTTTTAATTGTAGAATTCACTGTGCTTTGACAAAATAGTATATCCTTATAACCACCACTGCAATCAAGATAAAATTTCTATCATCTCCCCAAAATTTCCTTTGTCTCCCTTCCCTTAAAACTGCAATCTCCAACCATGGCCCAACCACTGATCTGCATTCTTTCATTACAGACTAGTTTTCCCTGTTCTAGAATTTCATATAGATGGACTTCTAAGTATGTACTTTTTATGGCTGGCTTCTTTTGGTCAGCGTAATGGTTTTGAGATTCATTAATGTTGTGTATTTTGTGTCATTCCCTTATATTGCTGAGTAGTGTTTGTTTATGGATGTACTGCATTTTGTTTATTCATCAGTCGGTAGGCATTTGAGTTATTTCCAACTTTGGACTATTAGAAATAAAGCCACTATGAATTTTCATATACAAATTTTTATATAGACACATGTTTTTATACAGGCACATCCAACATCACTCATGACGTTGGATAAATACCTAAGAATAGAATTTCTGGGTGTTACAGAAACTGATGTTTAACTTAATAAGAAACTGCCAAACTGTTCCAAAGTAATTGTACCATCCTTCCTTCCCACCAGCAATATATGAAAGTTCTAGTTAGTCTGTATCTTTATCAGCACTTGGTATTGTCAGTCTTTTGAATTTTGACCCTTTTAGTGGGGCAGAAGATTAGCATCTCATTATGGCTTAATTTGTATTTCCTTTATAACTATTGATCTTGAGCATCTTTTCATA